TGGCTCAGATAAACCCTTAAAGTTCTCTACAGGCCTGGACGTTTCTTACGCCCACAGTGGATGATATTCCTTGGTGTTCAGGTGAGCTTTTGACTCTGCTCTGTCTCCCTCCCCCTTTCATATCAGAGTTGGAGGGACAATTTGGAGCTCAAATATTTTGCCATCATTTTGTCAACAGAAAACTGTGTGGCACCAACTTTTCAAGATTTTGTTTTTATAAAGATGGAATTCAGATAGAGCTTCGCTACTTATATTCATTCAAATCAGAGCTTTAAAAATCCTGTTTTGCAAATTTTCTCTGGTCTTTTCCTTGTGGCATTTATACTCTGCATTCTTTGTTAGTACGGAGGAGGGCCTCAGAGACCTCTTCCTATCACTGAGATGTTTTCTACAGGTGTGATGGTTTGCTAGCAATTTGAGAACATTCAGTGAAGTATATGTTGCAGATATTTCTCCCATTGAAGTATATTATATAACAGTCTTATCAGAGAAATTGCGTAGATGTCATTCAATATCAGTGTTTTGGGATAAGATTGGTGGTGAATACCACAAGAAGATCATTAAGTCAGGGAAGATAAGATATGCTTCAGCAACTATAACGAAAGGTCTTTCGAATAAATAAGGAGATAAGGACTAGCCATCATAGAAGGATGCTGAGTCTCATTCTCTTCAAGTAACAAGATATTTTTCTGATATAGCCTCTTGATTCTCTACTCCATTTAATCCAACAATTTAGGCTAGCACCTTATGTCAACCCATCATCCTCTAGGAGGGCCACTGAAACAGTCCTGCTTTGGTCTCTCCTCCCTTTTGCCCTCCTGCTCACTACCATCAAAGTACATTTTCTAAAATGCTTGTTTCATAATGTCTCTCTTGTGTTCAAAATCCCTCACTTGGTCAACATAACAGTAAAAATATCCCCCCTCCTTCAGTTGGGTAGGACCCAACCAACCCTATCGATTGTATTTCCCCCATTTATTGTTCTTCCCTGTGATACCTAATTCCCTGAGTTTGCCCTCTGTTAAGGTCAAGACTGGTATCGATTGTATTTCCCCCCATTTATTGTCCTCCTCCCCTGTGATACCTAATTCCTCCCTGAGTTTGCCCTCTGTTAAGGTCAAGACTGAGCTCCTGTCCTAGGGGTGTCTGGAAAAGTTCTAGAACGCTGGATGCTTACAGA